TGTAACGTAACCAAGACATTAGACATCCAAAGTTATGTTAAAATATATATTGTGCCAATAAAAATTGTAAACAATTTAACAATTATGATAATAGCTTATGATTATCGAAGATTTATTAAATGGAAATTTTGTTGGTTAAGTTATTTAACTCATTAGTATTTTCACTCTAATTAACAAACTTGTCAAGTTGTTCTTAAAAAGTAAAAAAAACAAATTCTTAATATTACCGACCGATCTAATTAGTTTTTCAAGTGTCAGCTCTCAAACTTAATAAATACGTACTAGACACAGACAAGCAATAAGTTCGTACTTGTATAGATAGCTAACACTTATACTTATATATACGTACTTACGTACTTACATTTACTTACTTGTTTAAGTAGACAGTAACCTAATTATCGTTTTAATTGAGTTTTCCTTGCGTTTCGTTGCTTTTCATGCAACATTTAAATGAATTCTTACTATTTTCTCTTTTCATTTTTCGGCTAATTTAAGTGTTTGTTGACTTTTTCAATTTAAATCATTCAAACATTTCTACTCTCTGTCTCTGTCTCTCTCTCTCTCTCTCTCTCTCTCTCTTTCTCTCTCTCTCTCTCTCTCTCTCTCCATAGTCGTAATATTCACATTCACAAATAGTTTCTTGTAAAACCCTAAGCTTTAAACCTTTTTGTTTTTGCAAATGTTTTTTTTTTCCTCTACATGTATAGGAATTTGCACACAAAGTCATACACTTATGCATATACATGAACGGTAGTTATTTTCAATTGTATTTTTTTTTTTTTTTTCTTTTCTATTGTACTTTCTTTCTTTCACTATTGATTAACCGCCATAGAGCAAGCTTTAGTGTTGATTTTCAGTTGTCGTTCAATACTTATTGTAAATGGTTTGTTTGTTTATTGTGTTCATTTGCGATTAATTTCTTTGGAGAAAATACTCGAAAATGTTTAAATTTTATTAATTGAAAGATCACCAGGATTCTCTTATCATATCCATACTAAATTGTGTCGGATTCCGTTTGTTAGGACGGAAATACATTTAAAAGTAAACCTGTTCGTTTATGTTTATGTTTTTATATTTGCAAGTTAATATGTCTTCGGCGTATTCCAGTAAACGGTAAGAAAAAAAAAAAAAAAAAAAAAAAAAAAACTAAAGAAATTCCTCTTGGTCCTCTTGGCAGCCCTTCGTTCCCTTTGGTTACTACAAGCTAAGGGTTTATAAAAACCCTTATATATAATTATATCTTAAAACTCTTCTATGTACGTTTGTCAGCTCGTATCTACGTATCGTATATATTTATATATATATTTATACTGCGTGATATATTTATTATCTGCTTCTTAGCTAAGCAAATAGTATTTCCTTTACTTTTACGCAGTAACTTTTGTATTCGCTTCTTACTAAGTTAACAATCAATCCTATAAAACCAAAGGAAAAGAAAAGAAAACAACAACTAATAAGACGTTTGCAACAGCAGAAAATTTAAATATTAACAAAAAAGCAAAATCACTGAGAGATTTACAAAGAACAACAATAAAAGATTTTCAAGTGAAGAAAGTAAAAAGTTAAACTTCCTTTCAGCCCGTTAAGTCCTGAAGTGCTGAAGTGTTTGAAGAAAAGGCCTTGAATAATTTTCAATCGACAAATCAATGTTAAAGTACGGTATAGCCGCCAGATGGCGGCGGGAAGTTAATGGTTTAGTCAGAGGCAATCGATTAGATCGCGATATCTTTATTAGATGGTGACCTCTTCTTTTACCTAGCGAATGTTCTCGGTACGAGTTCGCGAAACAAAATGACGAAAAACGAAAAGTATTAATTTTTCGCCTTCCTCATACGCGAAACTTCTTCTTTACATTAGAATTTCAATAAATTTCTCAAGTCGCAAGATCTTTGAATAGAGAGGGGGATACCTTTTAAAGTTCTTCTCGCAATCAGGATCAGCGTTTCGCAATCGACGTGTCCGGTGAAAGTAAGTGTCTTTTACATTCGCAAACATAAAAGTCAAATCATTATCGTAGTAGTAGCGACGCAACAGTAGCCACGCATACTAGCCGTCAAACTAAACGTAGACGTCGAACAGCTACGCCCCCTCCGAAATACAGTTGCCTGCCAGTCCAAGAAATACATCAAATTGTCATTCGTTATATTTGGAGAGTTTGCTCGTTTATGGTTGGTTTCCAAAAATTGCGATGCGACAGTTGCGCTTCACGAAAGGATGAGATTGATTTTGTTTAAAATTTTTCTTCTTCCAACGCATAAGGCAGTTGTGTATTTATTTAAAGACAAGTAAAAATACTATAGTGAGTCACGGGCTACCTTTAAATGTTCTACAATATCCTACAGTTACATATATATATATATCGACTATTTAAAATAACGCCTCATATGGGAAATGGTTCAAATGGTGACCTGATCCGTTTCATTTTCAACGTCAGCGTTCGTCAGTTTACCAAGGGAAGGGACGAAGGGACAAGCTCAGACTCAACGTGCGTCCTTCTATATGTTGCGAACATCCGCACAAATTTTATTTACTCTTGTACCACTAATGGTGTAGCATATAAAAATCTTGTAGATTTTATTTTTCATATGTCATCGCACTGACAATCGTATGATAAGAGTATGAAGATGGCGGTAAATTTAGTATGACACCTACTGGTGTGATGAACAACACCCTGCAGAGTATGGAAACAAACTTCAACTTGCATACGGCATTTGATTGTCCATGTATCGGAAGCATTTATGAGTAAAAGAGAAGAGAAGATAGACGACTATCAAGAACATCTGTCGGACTTGAGCGTAGAATGGATACGTCATAGGGACTTGGAGGAAAAACAATTTTTTTTTTTCATTTATCTTAAGCAAGAATTCAGCAATGAACTCATCTAAGTTATGCTTGTTTCGAGTTAGTTTTAAATCAATACAGGATCTTGGAAGGTTTATTCATCTTTTTTGTTTACTCGAAGGATATGTCAATCGATTAAATATTATGGCGAAATGCCGAGCTTTTAATAGATCAGTTTATAGATATCATATCTAGTATATATTGAATGATAATACACAGGGAATGTAAAGCGAGAGAGAGAGAGATAGAGAAGAATATGCCGTCTAGTGATGAATATATATCTAGCTTATTATAGACTGTTGGCATTGCTTGCTTCTATATACAAATATCATGTATGTATTTATATAGCATTTGTAAAAACTAGTGTTGCCAACTTTTGCAAATATAAAGCGGCCAATGAAGTTTCCATAAGATTTCATTTATTATCAAGGATATCTAAATATCATGAAAATATTGTAATGTAATATTGAATGAATGAAAATGATAATAGAAAGAAAATAAAAAAAAAAAAAAAAGAAGAGAAATGAAAAATTCATTTTATAAATTTCTGCTCAATTTTCTTTTCAACACATTTTCTTATTTATTTTTTAATTGAAATTGGAAAAGAAAACAAGGAACTATAAATGAACAGCAGCTCGGAGAGCAATGAAATCAGAGAGTAGTGAAGCAGTATAATAGAGTGCAGCTGTATGGACTAACAGTTCGGTTCCTAAGCAAACATAAGAAAAAAATCTCTTCTTTTTTTGTTTTTGTTTTGTTTTAAAGATTTTTTTTTTTTTTTTTTTTAGATTTTTCTTTATTTCTTTTTTTGTTTTTCGAAACAAAAATATAGACGAACGTTATTGAGTTGATAAACTGAAATAAAAATTTTGCATTTTCAGTTGTTATTGAGCGCCTTTTGGATTTTCACGCTTTTTTGATTATTGAACGTAATAAAAACAGAAAAGAACGGCAAAAACCGCGACGGATCAACTACTGCGAAAGAAAAGATAAAAATAATATAAAAAAATTCTTTCAAGCAAAAGAAAAAACAAGAACAAAACAAAGCAATTGTAAATAATAAATCGATGAGTTTGTAATAATAAATCGTAATTATAAAAAAAAAAAAAGTCTCGTCTTAAATTTAGTCACAAATTATCATAATGCAGTGATGAACTAGTCGTACTTCGGGATGTAATGTTTTTTTAATTGCTTTTTGTTAAAAAAAATTTATTAAATTGCTTAATGAAAGCGTTAAAGAGAAAAATCAAATAAGTAAAAAATATATTCTTAAAATATCATTCAAATTTCCAAACATAATCTTTAGTTTATCAAAAATGTTTAATTAAAATCAAACTTCTTTTGTTTTAAATCTCTTCTTAAACGAAAAAACTATTTTTTTTTTCGCGTAAATTTCTTGCGAAAATTTTTTTTCCCAACCACAATTATAACAATTTTCGATTAATTTAAGATATTTCATAAGATTTTCCATAATAAAAAGTGTTTAACATAAAAATGCAAATGTTCTCTGAAAGTTTCAAAAATCTCCAACAAACTTAAATGCAATAAAATCATCGGTATCTTGCCTTAAATTGGTTCATATTGCTAGCAAATATAATTCTAAAAATAGTCTGCGGCCAAAATTGCCATTAAAAGATACACAAAAAAAAAAAAAAAATAAAAAAAAAGAAAAACAAATTAAAAAAAACAAAAAATTTTTTTACAAAAAAATATTAAAAATTTTAAAAAAAAAAAAAAAAAAAAGGGAAAAAAGCAACAAAGCTTCAAAAAAACAACGCGAAATCCAAAATGTATTCCAAAACGACGACAATTGCGTGATCGAAAATGTGCTTAAATGATAAATAATAAAAAATGTTCCTTTTCTTCTTCGTGCCGTATTCCTCTTCTAATGCATATATGAATGACCTGATTTTGAAATATTCTTTTAGATTCTCTTTCTCCTTCGAAACGAGAGCAAGCAATAATATTTTGTTTTAATTATAAATAAAAAAAAAAAGGAAAAAAACATATATATATATAAACTTTTCTATTGTTCTTAATTTTTTTTTATATATATATATGTATATATATATGTATATATATATATATATATATGTATATATATATTTGTATATGTCGTGGCCTCATCCTTACCTTTCATCATATTTATCTTCATTTAGCTTTAAAAGTGACGCTTCAGTTTCGCATACCACAACGAGTACAACTTCAACTAAATCGTTGGAGGGACTTTGTGGTTCACCAAGTCTACCTTTATTTAATACACAAATAAATCGTCAACAACCGAATGTTTCGCCATTCTTTACTTTGACACGTTCGCCTACACAATCCGTACAAACGTCAGTTGTGATTAAAAGCAGCAGTAATTTCTCAACGCCATCACAATCTGCCTTTACGTCTATAGCTGCAAGTGCTATTTCAGCATCATCGACGCCCTCATCACCGGTCAATAATTTAGCGCATAAAACATCCACAAATAGTGCCATTAAATCGATAAATATGAGCAGCGTTACCGATATTTTAGAATTATCGCCAATATCGGGCAGTGATAATAATACCAATATAACTAACAATGCAAGCGAATCACGAATAATTGAAATGTCTAGTCTGGAACTGGACGTTGATATGCCCGAAATGAAATCGCCTGAGAGTCAAACAAACGCTTCGTCAACGTGCGGTATCGTACGTACAAATAGTGTGCGCGCGCGAGCCAATATGTTTCAACAATTGCAGAAGAAGCCGAGTGCTGTTAACTCAAATCGGGAAGAACGCACTTCACCGAAGAGAGGTAAGTATCACTCTTTATTCTTTTGATATGTAATAATCATATATATGTATGTATATATAGATACATTTTTTTTTTTTTTTTTTTTTTTTGTTTATCTAAAAATTATCGCTAAATAATGCATTAACGAGGTCTGTTATCAGGTATTAAATATCTATTTTATTCCCGTAATGGTTCGCTAATTGTTTCGTAATACGTATGTATGACTGTCGTAATTGTATGAAACGATACACACATTACCAGCAACAATAGATCTTAGAGAGTAGTCTCTCTTAATGGCAGACATGTTTAATTAGAGGGATCTTTGAGTTCGCTTCCAAGGAACTTTTGAGTTCGTTGCAATGCATAGTTTTAGCTTGAAATTTGCGCTTACAAACCGTATCTAAGGTGTCGCTTCCGCGGCAAACATATTAACGTCGCCGACATGAAGAGATATAAAAAAAATTCTTGGCTACTGACAAAAAAAAAAAAAACGGCTATAGTAGGACACGGCAGTTATTCGTGTAATGACTTTTTGAAGCATGGGAAGGGGTAAAAAAAGTGATCCGAAACGAATCATTTCCAACTGCGTTTGTCCTTGGGCCAAATAATCCTCTGTCCGCCAAATTATTGAACACAAAAAAAAAAAAAAGACGCACAGACTGGCAGACAAGTTGAAATCAGAATCACAATTTCTGAATCGATCGACTTCTATATTTTTTATTAATTAATTTTCAACTTCATTTGCGATCGCTTGATAATATCCTTTGATTTTTTAAGTAGCCCTTTAAATTTTGTACTCACTGTAGGGACATATGAGGAGCGTGAATAATGGAATCACTATAGAAAAGTAAATCAGCCATTTTGTTTTTACTACTCCCTGCCTTTAAAACATATTCAAAAATCCACAAAGTCCGTCCCAAACTCAATGAGAATCGCAATGCTTTTTCGTCTTTTTTTTTACTTCTTTACTTTCTTCAAATTTGTAAGGCTTTTCCTTAGTAGGAAGTTTGAAGAGACCACGTAATTAGTTTTGAATAAATATCAAAATAATTTTTCGATTTTTGTTAGCTTACATTCAAAAATTAAGTGTGCGAAAATAGACAAAACAACAATTGATTTTTAGATTTTATAAGCTTAGTTGAAAAAATTAAATGTGTACTGAAAACGGTGCATATGGAACAGAGACCGTGTAAATGGCATTATGTGGCAATGACAACAATTAATTTTTAGATTTTGTTAGCTTGCTCGAAAAAATCAAATGTGTACTGAAAAGGGTACATCTGCGGCAAAGAACGTGTTAAAAGATGTGATCTAAATTGAGTACAACATATTCCATGCTTTAAATAACAAGAAAAAAAAAAAAAAAAAAACAAGAGGACAACAACAAACCACTTAAATATATTAAAACGTATTCGCACATATTATCGCTTTCGATTAATCGAATTCAATATAAATGGATTTAGATAATGGTTGAATAATGTTTTCATAAAAATTTTAAATAGGTTCTCATCATATTTATGAATTTACTTGAAAATCTCTATTATTTTATTTATTTATTCAACAATTGTTATTATTATTATTTTTTTAATATTTCAGTAACATCACGTCCATCGCCTTCTTCGACAATTGTGATCCGGAACAATAATAATAACGACCATGCAAATAAAACGTTGCAAATAGCAAACAATAGTCAGCGAACGTTGAATACGACGGACGATGAAATCGGTATGTTGTGCAAATTTAAAAAATCCACCACTAATTCTGAATCTCCTAAATTTTCTAATGGATGCAATGTGTTTTTGTTTTTCGTTTGCTCATTGAATGCAATTTTTGTTGTTGTTGTTTGTTTGCAATTATATTATTTGTTGTTTTTTAATACTAATAATATCAACAATTCGAATAAAAAATACCAATAAATATATAAAATGTTAATGATACAAACAAAAAAAAAAAAAAAAAAAAAAAAAACAAAAAGAAAAAACAATGCTCTTCATTTTCTATCCCAATTGAAAAATTAAAAGAAAGAAAAAAAAGAAGCTGAAATTAAAAATTTTTTTCTATAGTTTTTACTGCTACTGCCTTCTGGTTTTTTTTTTTTTTTTTCTTTTTTTTTCTAACCAAACGATAAACAGTAAACATGTTATTGGTGCCTGCTTATCTTGTACTCTCTCTCTCTCTCTATCTCTCTCTCTCTCTCTCTCTCTTTCTCTCTCTCTCTTTCTCTCTCTCTCTAAATTATACCCGTACAAAGTTTTGCATTAACTTACAATGGAATTTTTCTTCTTTCATAATTTGTTGTTTTCTAAATCAATAGCAAACAACACAACACCTTCGATTTCATTGAAATTTAGTTATTATTAAGACATTTATACGCGTGTGTATGTGCTGTTGTGATTCAATTGCTTAATAAAATTGTTGCATTCGCTCAAATTAATTAACTTTGGAGAACATAATTTATAAATATATATATACATATATATAAATATATATATATATATATACATATATACAGATATTCATTACTCCTTGGGTTTACTAACTTTATCAAAGCCATTGTAACATTCGCTGAAAAATTCATAAATTATTATATATCGGGGTATCAGTAGTTACGTTACGTTTCATTCACATTCACCTGTTGAGATCTTCGATCTCATTCAAAATAATTAGATAATGGGCGCAAACAATTCACTCGATTTATTTCGAATTAGCTTTGACAACCGTTTGAGAAGAATTATCATCGATGGATTTAATTCAAATTCGAATTACGGTTAGATAAATGCAAGAGTCGCTGTAGTCTCTCTATTCTTTCTGTTTCTTATCTCTTCCCAATGTCCTTTGCGTGACAGAGAACCCTCTTTACTCATTTACAGATGACAGTGCCTTTTTTCACTCACTCGGTTTCCTTCAAGAGCAACAACAAAATAAGTAAATATTGCTTGATTGAGTGATGAATGATAACGAAGATCGCGCAGAAAACTATCTTAATGCGGTCGGGTAAATGGGGATAAATTTCTCCATCTATTCATGGAAAAAAGTAAAAATAAACAATTTCCTCTCCCTAGGGATTTTCTGGTCATGAGAATAAAAATTAAATGACATGCATCGAACAGAACATGAATTCGAGGCGTTGAACGATCAAAGGTTTAGATTTCTTTCTTACTTCAATGCAGTCGATATGTAGGGAGAGAAAGGACGCAAATTATATAAGTACAGCATTAGACTACATTACGCCAACTTTCGAAGAGCGTTTAGCGTGTGAGGAGGCCATGGGATGCCGAAAGCCAACCTAATCGTGTACATTGTTGAATGCTTTCAAGCAAGATTTGAAAGCTTGGGGGCGTCCTGCCTGTGATAATAGTACTCGTTGAATAACTCTTTGAAAGGAATTACTTTAAATCACCCGTGATACTCAATGATACAGTTGATGCAACCCAAATGGCGGCCTTAATATCGTATTTGATTTAACAAAAACTGTTTACACAAAAACTTGTACTGAAATATTTATGCGAGACAAGGATCTTATCAGGATATTTATACTTGATTTGAATAAATGCTTCGACAGTGTTGATCTAGAATGCAAAAAAAAAAAAAAAAAAAAAAAAAAAAAACCAAGTCACTATTTGTCGTGTAAGTAGATCGATCTCGTGTATCAAGGAGATAGGGTATAACAAGATTCGTCTTGAATTCTTTTTTTTTTTTTTTTTTTTTTTTAATAAACTCTTTCGTGTTTTTTCATTTCATTTTATTACATTTTAATCGCTTTATTATAATGTTGCGCATGCGCTTCTTCTTTTCATTATGATTACGATTATTATTATTATTGTTATTATTACTCCATTACTGCATATTTTTTTCATTTCTATTTTCATTTTTATTTATTTATTTTTTTTTTTCATTTCCTTTCAATAAATGCATACAGAGGTGGTTTGGTTTGATTTCGCTCGCGCGTTTATTTCGCTTTTCAATTAAATAAATCATTTTTCTTTTTCATGCTTTGCTTTTGTCATGATTTCTAATCTATCTATATATATATATATATATATATACAGATATGAAAAAAAGAAGTGATATATATATATATATATATATACATGTATATGTATATGGGAATGAATGTATGTATGGGCGCGTGTGTGTGTGTATACGTGCAAGTATGTATGTGTAAAATGAATTGATTTGTTTTTTCATTTTTACATAATTTCCTCTAATAAATGAAAGGAAACATTGCATTAAGTCATACGGTAATTAATCTGCTTTCACATACACACCACTCACTTGCTCTGTTCGGCTTATAAGGAAGAAATCATTGCTATTTATATATAAGAAAATGTGATTATTTTATTATTTTATTTATTATCATTATTAATATCACATAAAAAAAAAAATAAAATCAATCTATTTCACTCTGTATAGATCGTTTTTTTGTCTTTTTAAAAATCTTTTTCCATCGGAAATTATGGTTGGCTTTTAATTTTTAATACAAGAACAAAAAAAAAAAAAAAAGTATTAAATCGAATATCTATCTTATCGGTACATTTAGGCTCTCGTTTCGTCCATCTACACTGATATATTATTTCAGTACCGAGAATGAATTGTTGTTAAAATTAAAAATAAAATGGAATTAATTTTAGATTCAATTCGATACTGTATTGCAAAATGCGAGACCCATTCGCTTAGATATACTGCGTATATCGCATATATGCATTTCAAAATATATTTTTATCCAATTTATCAGCATAACGCATCGAACACAATTGTAAAAACTAAAAGCCATCTTTATAATTATATGACAAGAATAAAACAAAAAAAAAAAAAAAGAGAAAAGGTTATAGTAGTGAGCCGCGTCTCATCATTAAATACCCCATCACCATCTTACAATTACTTAAATAATGACTTTAGGTGTTATGTCCGAAGTGGACGGAAAAGTGGTCCGAGATCCGAAGCATTTTCAATAGCCAAAAGTGGTCTGTATACGAAATTGGAAGATGGACATACGGACAGACACGCTTTAACCAAATCAGAAAATAATTCTAAATCGATTGATATAGTAAAAGTCGGCACTAACGCAAGTCGTCGCAAAAACTTAATATATTCTCGTACAGCAACTGCTGTAGGATGTAAATAAAAATCAATGCCTTGCGCAGACAAGTTGATAGCAGCCGTCGTAACTTGACCTCTTTCATTTCATTTATTTTCGGGTTAACTGCTATTACTACTGTTGTACACAGCAAGAGTCAGCGAAGCGGTGTGTATGTTCTTACTTCTAAGAAGTATCTCTAATAGTTGTTTTGAATGCCGAGTCTCCAGATTTACGTTTGCGGAACGTTTAGAAAGCAGTCCACTGGTTTTCTCCCTATTTTTTTTCCCCCTTTTTTTTGATTAATCAAAAAGTGAGAAAAGTATTAAGTCCATCTTACATAGATAGTAGTAGCTAGGCTAGCTAGGTAATCTATTGTGATCTTTTCAGAAATCAGTCAAATTGTCATCTGATATGTGTATGCGTTGTGTGTGTTTGTGTGTGTGTGTGTCTAATTCATTTATCTCTTTTCCTTAACGCTTGACCTTTAAAGCTAAATGTATCTTTAGGCTTCCGCTCGAGGCTGATGATCGTCGTGCCCGTCCTCTTAACCATCATAAGCACATTATTATTATTATTTTTTTTTTTTGTTACTAATTATTTTAATTTTAATTAATTATCTTTTATTTATTTATTTTTTTTAATTTTTCTTAAAATTTCTTTTTATATTAATTAAATTCATTTAAAATTTTTTCTATATAAATACACTTTGCATGACACTTCTTTACTCCTTGGTTTCTCGATTCATTCAATTGATAAGTCTTTGTATGTATTCATTAAGTAAAAGTTAATTCACGTTCATAACATTCTCTGCTGAATCAGTTCCTGTACCAGCAGCTTCTTCGACGATGGCAAGGAGATTTTTTCAGTTTTGTCAAATGCTATAGGTGTTGTTGTTATTCTATTCTTTTTATTTGAGTGAAGTAGTTCTCGACAATTTTTCAAGCACAAACATCTTACAGCTTTAAGATCACGTCTTGGACTAAAACGGCTTTGGGTCTGCAAGCCATCCAATTTGGACTTGCAAGCATTTTTTGCTTCCTTTTTGCAACCAAAAAGTTCATCCTTTCTTCGCCGCTGTTAGTCTGAAATCGTCATAGGAATTGATTGACTAAAAAGTTCTGCGTTATAACAGTGTCAGAGTAAAATTTCACTAAAGCTGAGTCGTTGTCAAGTGATTGAAATTTTACACCGAGCCGGAAATGCATTGGTATTCTGTAAGGAAAAACAAATTTCAGAATATTAAATAGTAAGCAGTGAAAATTGAAGATCTCTCTCTCTCTCTCTCTCTCTCTCTCTCTCTCTCTTTCCTCTATTTTTAGTGGCCTATGCCACTTGTGGTACAAGGGTGTATTAAGTTTGTCCGGAATCATGCAACGGCCAGATGAATTTGAGATGGACCCGACTTTTATTATACCGATCGATTCAGTTTTACCTGCCGATTTGATTGAGGCTTGTCTGTCGCAGTTTTTAAAATAATTCGATGAAATTTGGTACGCAGACATTATTTGGCCCACGAACGAACGCTATTAAGAAATCTTTGGATCTCCGACCACTTTCCATATAATGCCCTGTTTTGAGAAAATGGTTAAATGAATAACTGTAGTGATGATTGTGGTATAGGGTATCTTATGACATGTCGACTTTT